AAAGGGGGAGCACTGATCAAGAGGAAGATGAGGAAGAAGATCGTAGTTCCATGGCTAATCAACGACCAAAAAGGAACATTGTTAAGCCTGCTCGGCTCAGAGATGAAAGGTTTGTCACTACTTACTCATGCTACTTTGCAGCTCCATTAGATGAAGAGGAGCCATCATCATATGATGAAGCAAAAGGAGTTCAAGAGTGGGAGGGCGCAATGAAGGAGGAGATGAATGCCCTCATGAAGAACGAAACTTGGGATTTGGTTCCAAAACCCAAGGATGTCCAACCCGTTTCTTGTAAATGGGTGTACCGAATTAAGCGAAAAACGGATGGGAGCATTGACAGATTTAAGGCAAGGTTGGTTGCTCGAGGGTTCTCTCAAAAATATGGAGAAGATTATAATGAAACTTTCAGTCCAGTGGCAAAGATGACTACGGTACGCTCACTTTTATCTTTAGCCGCAAGCTTTGGTTGGAAGTTATGGCAACTAGATGTGAAGAATGCTTTTCTATACGGAGAGCTTGATAAGGAAATCTTCATGGAGCAACCGCTTGGTTTCAAGTCATGAGAGCATCCTGATTGTGTTTGCAAGCTTAAAAAGGCTTTGTACGGGTTAAAACAAGCTCCTCGAGCTTGGTATGGAAAGCTTGCTCAATTCCTTCAGTTTTGCGGGTATGTGCCATCAAATTCTGATCCGAGTCTATTCTTCAAGAAGAATGGAGGAGTCCACGTGGTGGTTCTTCTTTATGTGGATGATATGATCATCACCGGGAATGATGATGCTGAAATTGCTCGTCTACAAGAGGATATGTCGGTGAGGTTTGAGATGAAGAAGTTGGGTGAGTTGAACAATTTTCTTGGTTTGGAGGTCGAAAGGGTAAAGGATGGAATATTTTTCGGCCAACAAAGCTACGCAAGAAGGATTGTTGAAAGGTTCGGAGTACACGAAGGGAAGACACGTACTACTCCGATGGACGTGAACATAAAGCTTAAACGCGATGAAGGGTCCTTGCTACCTGATCCTCGACCTTATCGCTCTCTTGTAGGAAGTCTTCTATACTTAACCATTACAAGACCTGACCTTGCCTTCGCGGTGGGTCTCGTAAGTCGGTTTATGCAAGAACCAAGGAAGCCACATCTAGAAGCGGCAAAGAAGATTTTGAAGTATGTAAAGACAACTCTTGGCATGGGTCTGATGTACAAGTACAATGCCAAGGTTTCTCTTCATGGTTTCACGGATGCTGACTTTGGTGGAGATCTAGATGATCGAAAATCAACTTCAGGGTATGTGTTCTTATGTGGAGACACAAGTGTTTCGTGGTGCAGCAAGAAGCAAGCAACGGTGTCATTGTCTACCACTGAAGCGGAGTATAAAGCTTCAACACTCGCAGCTCAAGAGTGTATATGGCTTCGAAGACTCCTTGAAGATTTGTTGGAGCCAATCAATAAGCCGGTTGCAATTTATGGAGATAATCAAAGTGCTATCAAGTTGGCTAATAATCCGGTGTTTCATGCAAGGACGAAGCATATCGAGTTAGAACATCATTTCATACGGGAGAAGGTGCTTGATGGAACAATTGAAGCTTTGGAGGTTCGAAGCGAAGACAACGTTGCATATATCTTCACCAAGTCACTACCAAAGAGCCAATTTGAGTTACTTCGCTCGAAGCTCGGGATGATTGACAAAATCAAGTTTAAGGGGGAGTATTGAAATTAAACTTGATTTTGGATCAAGCTTAATTTTGGGTTTATGATGGAATTATTATAAGTTTGACCAAACCCAAAATTAGGTCTAAATTCTAGAGGTTTTCTAGAAACACTCTAGAATGTTGATCACCTCCTTAAAGTATTCTAGAGAAATCTTTAAGCTAAATATCTAGATAATGGTATAGAAACATCTAGATAATTTGTGACAAAAATATTTAGATATTATGTAGAAATTTCTAGAGATTAGAAAAATATCTAGGAACTATGGAGGTGATATTAGAAGAATCTAGATCATTTGTAACATATCTTTGGGAGGCTATAAATACCTCCTCACCTCTCTCATTTGTAAGTAAGAAGAAAAAGTTGAACAAGTGAATAAAGCAAGTTCAAATAAAGAGTCTTCCTCTTCATAAGTCCTATACATTTCTCTAAAAGTCTTTCAAGTGTTCTCTAAGTGTTCTTCATATTCTTCTTCATACTTAGAGGTTTATTCTCTTGGTTTCTTTCGGGTTTCTCGGGTATTACGGTCTTGGGCTAGTGCTAAGCACTATCGGTGTTATCTTTACAATAAGAAGAGAGGAGGTAACACCTAGGGGCGTCTCATTGCCAAAAAGAAAAAGAAACCTTGCTTCTTAGGAGAGGAGGGCAAAACTTAGGAGCTTCTTCATAAAAAGAAAGAAAGAAAGCTTTTAGGGAGGAGAGGTAAAACTCAAGAGCTTTTTAGATTATGTTCTCGATGAAAATAGGATAATAACCGTTATTCGCCGCAAACATGGATACATCCAAGGACCAAAGCAGCCCCACGTTTATGAAAAAGAAACGCTAGCTGCTCTCTAGCGGCAAACAACAAAAGCAAAGCAAAATTATTAGCATAACTATTAGCATAGTTTGCTAGAACACTGTGTCTTATGAGGAAAATTAATAACATTTTTTTGCCATAACCTTCATGTTATGGTTTCTACTTAATTAAAGACTATAAATTATGGTTTGAATTTATGTTGCGTAGGTAATTAACACCTCCAACTTATGTTGCGTAGGTACGAATAAGGGTACCGATACTGGTGCAACTACGGTGCGGGACTCAACAGATTTGTAAAAGGTGGAGCACGGAGGCACAGCTATATACGCATATTGAATTAATAATTTATATGTGCTCAATAGCATTTTTCGTTCACATGTCATGAGAATCAAAATTTCTATATTATGTTTATTCTTCATTTAATATGTAGATTACACGCCACTTGTTTTTCAATTAGATACTGAAACGATCCTAAAATCATATTTTTGAACAAGATATGAACTAAAAAAACCAATCTGATTCGTGTCCAACGGGTACAAGCATATGTCAACCATGGGATAAACTTACAAGAAGTATATGACAGAGCATTTTATGTTAAAGCATATGCATCATATAACTTAGTACGTACCTTCAACGAGTGTTGATATTTTGATGAGCGTTTTAAATTAAAGTATATGCATTATATCACTTAATACATATGTAAAAACATCTTAATAAACATATGCATATCCTCAACGAGTGTCTAATGAGTGTTGATATTTGGTATGATTGCGGCACATGATAAAGTATCCAAAGAGTGTCAAACACGTGTCAAGTATGGATACTGTCACGCCCCGGTCCCACAGGCTTGTTGGCACGTGCAAGCTGTGGGTCCACGGAGAGCAACTCGTGGATTGGCTAAATCCACCGTCAAAATGCTAACACTAGTTGTTCTTGAGCCTTGAGCTTTTCTCTATTTAAATCACTAACATTTCTTCACACTGACCCATGTGGGACTAAAATGGGAGTGTCATAATCACCTCACCTTACAAAGACGACGTCCTTGTCGTCACGACATGACAATTGGCACATCCCAATGTCCATATAGCACTTAGCCCCGTATAGCACTTAGCTTCACACTTCCAGCTAGCAACTGCTCTGATACCGTTTGTCACGTCCCCCAGGCCCACGGGCCTCTTGGCGCGTGCAAGCCGTGGGTCCACGAAGAGCAACTTGTTGGTTGGCTAAATCCACCGTCAAAATGCTAGCACTAGTTGTTCTTGGTCATTGGGTTTTTCTCTATTTAAACCACTAACATTACTTCACAATAGTCTATGTGGAACTAAAGTGGGGGTGTCACAGATTCGCTTTCATGATAAAATTACCTGGATAACATAGCCTCGAAAGTTCCTACATATGTGATTAAACCCTGAAGAAATCGGCATGCATAAAAGCACATGCTTAAAAGATACAGATACAGGCTCAAATATGTATTATTTCATGTTCTTATGAATAATGACCGGGCTATCATCTCCAGATAAATAATCCGTCACTTACGCTTTGGTTGTTGTTTGCGTGATGAACGATGGCAATTCATGAGAGTAATCTTGGTAGCAGATGAGATGCCAACAGCTAAGTTTACTTCACCAAGCTCAAGGAGTTCATTATTTAAGGAATTGGTATAAAATATAGAATATACAAGTCTCTTTTGAATCTCGATGCTAAGAGTAGGAAAAAAAAACACAGGACAAATATTATACTTAATCATTGAAATCATGGCATCATAAAATTTCCAGGTTGGGTTAGCTTCTTAAACAACCAACCCTTGACTAAATTACAGCAGAGCTAAGGATACAAGCATATTATAGCTTTAAAGAAGCCAAACAAGTCGTGACAAAAAAAAACTATTTTACAAAAAAAAGCTAGCTCGTAGGATAAATTGAACAGAAAACTCGTCTAGACTACCAAATTTTGGCAGAAAACAAAAATTTCCTGTATAATGCAATATTTACCAATAGTTTTTAAAGAAAGCAAAGTTAGAGAACAAACGCACGTATTATCAAGATCAATAGAAAAATCTCCTTGTTCTATTAGTTTTGGCAAAGGGAAAAAAAAAAAAAAACATCCTGTAGTACTAGATGTGACAGAAAATTCTCTGCTCTGTCTTAGGGCTCTTAACCATATCTAAGAAAAGTTTAGTAAAGGATTTTCTGTCAAATCCAATAGAACAAAAAAAAAAAAAAAGAATCACTTATTTTGCTACCAAACCTGTAAATTTTGCTGGATAACATGTACACTAGAGTGAAAGAAAAAAAAGTTCAAATTTACTGTCACGTAACATGTATATACAAAAAATGCACAGAGAAAGATCCTTGGCATGTACACGTAGAGCTAGCGTAGCTCTGCAGGTGCACATGGGTATTCCCATGTGACAGTGAGTAATGTCCTAAATTAACATTCAACGCCCCCCCCCCCCCCCCCCTCCGGGGATCTAAACTTAAAAAACTTATCAAACCTACACATCAACACCCCCACTCTTTGTTCCATTTTTTCTTCCATCTCAATGCATAGCAAATTGACCATGTAAACAGAGTGGCCATAACTAGAGAAGGCAATCTCCAAAGAGAGGATGGAGGAGGAGGAGGCTCCCCTCCAGCCTCCTTCCTCCTCCTCCGACTTCGAATCACCCGTCTCATCGTCGCCCTCCTCTCGCCGCTCCTCCACACACTTATGCCCCGCCGACGAGCTCTTCTACAAGGGCCAGCTCCTCCCCCTCCACCTCTCTCCGAGGATCTCAATGGTCCGGACTCTCCTGCTTTCGTCCTCCTCCACCTCTTCGTCCTCCACAGACACCAACACCACCGCCTCTCGAGACTCCAACGGTAGCTCTTCCTCTTCTTCTTCCTCCTCCGGAGTCCCGGCTGAGCTCTTGCTCCTCCTACCGGAATGCGACTCGTCCCGTCCGAGCTCGGTCACGGAGGAGGAGGCCCGGAGGGCTGTACCCTCCTCCGCCACCAAGCGCAACAGGTACTTCGCATCCTTTGCCAATCGCTTCTCCTCGGTCTTCCTCAACCGAGGCGGAAGCAAGAAGGATTTCGCTTCCGCCGCGGACATGGACCTCGACTATCAAATACCAGCTCCTCCGCCGACACCGCCTGGTAAAAGGGTCAACGCCACCGCGAAGGAGGTGATAAAGAAGTACGTCAAGAAGGTCAAACCTCTCTATGAAAGGCTTTCTCCTCTGCAGAAAAATCAGAGCCAGAGCCATAACCTGACCCAGCACCAGAAGAAGAAGACCTTCTCCTTCTCAATCAGGAGGCAGAGGGACGTCAACATCACCAACTGCAACATCGTCGAGTCCTTGAAGAAGTTGGACGAGGAGGAGGATGGAGAAGCTGCGATGAGAGGGGTATACCCGCATCATGCACATTCGAGCTCGTTCTCCGGGAACCTCAGATTCCCCCGGAGGAAGAAGTGCGCAGGGAGCTGCCCTTCGTCGATGCGGTCGTCGCCGACACATTCCGGATTGCTCCGGCTCGGCGGGGGCGGGCCTGGCGGATTTCCGACGGACCCGTCTGCAGGGCTGGTATCTTCATCATCGTCGTCATCAATGGAGGAGCTACAGAGTGCCATTCAGGGTGCGATCGCACACTGCAAGAATACAATGCTCCAGTCTCATCAGAAGAAGTCTCTTTCTATTGATGCCGCTCCTGCCAACTGATGTCCTCTTGTTGTTTAGAACTTAGATTAAACACTCTTCATTAATCCAGCAGAATCTAGCTTTCTCTCTCTCTCTCTCTGCTTGTTCTATGTATCTGCATGTTATGTTCAGAAAACTTTTAGTGTATGGAGAATCCTTAACACACAGTGTATGAGCTGTATGAGCTTTCTGCTACTTGCACTGTACTCATTCTGCCATTCTCTTCACTTCAGCATTAACTCCATAATAATGGGTCCGCAAAAATTTTATGAAGTGTTTTTTTTTCTTTTTTCATTTTAATTTGTGCATGTGGTCATGAACATTGGTTTCCGTTTTAAGCTAGGCTGCTGCTGACTCACAACTAAATGAGCCCATGTGCTGTTGGATCCATACAACGTCAATCCCTTTGATGAGAGATCCACCTACTAGCTTCAACTACTAAGATATAAAAAAAAACTTCTTAATAGTGTTTTTTTTCTTTGATTTTAGGAAAGTGAATAGTTTTGAAGAGAAGATGCGCATACTATCAATGCAATGAGAAAGTTGATAAAAAAGGGTACACGCAAGAAAGTAGTGTTAAATATAGCTGGCTTTGGGTAGTTGGGTTCTTGAAAAATGATCCAGGGAGTGGTGATATGAAGGAGGACAAGTTTTTTTTGTTGAATAAGCACTTTGGGAGATGAACGAGCATAAGCCAAGGACTTGGTAATTGTTCCTTTTTTTTTATCTTTGGTAACAAATGGCAAAAGAAAGCTCTTGAACTCTGGATTGGTTTTAAATTTTGGTTATTGAGAACTTAAAGGAGGATTATGTGACTTTAATGATGTCCATGTCACAAAATTAAGACACATAAACAAATTCAGACATTAACCAGGAGGTTAACTTACCCATACATATTTGAAACAAGATTCGGAGGAGTCGCATGTGCTTGTCTATAAAGTCTACCTACCTAAACCCTCCGCTTTAGGAGCTGTTTGGTTCCCTGTTTTTGAGGGAAAGACTCTCTTGAAAGCCTGCCAAAAGTGCCAAAAGTGTCACTTTTTGGCAGGCTTTCAGCCAAAATCTTTTTTTTAGAGACGGTTTTGACTGAAAGTCTGCTAAAAAATAACACTTTTGACAGGCTTTCAAGAGAGTCTTTCCCTTAAAAACAGGGAACCAAACAGCCCCTTAACATGCAGGTATCATCAGGTTAATCATTAGATTAGTACGCTAGATTAGAGAAGATCTGAGAGGTCTAGCAATTTGCTAATCCTTTTGTTTGCTTAGGTTAACAACCAAGCACACCAAGTCTAGATAGGATAAACAAATCATCAGCTACCTACCACTAGTCACAACAACAATCTTCTCTCGCCACCGGCTGCCAAGGGTTTCACTTACCAAGATATTCCCTCCCCAGGCTAATAAAGAGTTGCTTCACTTGGTAGCAAGTTGGCTACAGTGATGTTGGTGTAGTGTCATCAATGCAAGAACTTTCTAGATACTCCCCCCCTCTAAAACTGTACCTTATTGAACTAACGGGTTCTAAAGTATCTAGTAGATCCAAACCCGAATTCACAGCCAGGCTGTTGGAGGTTAGTTGCAAGTGGAGTTTCAATTTGAAGTTGTTTGCAGCTCAAAAGGCAGCAACTATGACTTGCGACCGAATCTGTGAAAGTCGTCAGTTGCAACTGGAGGCTCTTTTTTTTTTTTTTTTTTTTTCCGCAATCATATTTATCTGCATGTTTCAATTGCAGGGAACCAAACAACCCATAAAAATAGATACCAACGGTTCTCGCGGTTAGATTCCGAATCCAGAAAACCAAGTCGGCATGGCTTACATTGAACATTCAAGTGACTTCCAAGATTGGATCCAAGTTCGTAAAACTGGATCCGATATCAACTCAGATGTCATCTGAGGAAAGAGGCTCTCTGTGCTACCGACAGAAGAAAGATGTCTAAAATAAAAAAAAATGGAGGTGGGAGAGGGTGGGGGTAGACCATGAATCTAAGTTTTAGCTGTCTGATAGTGAGACAGACGGAGGACATAAAATGTGCTATACATGGACCACAACCACATGACCATGCTCTCTACTCTTATATAAATACAAATATAGATATAAACATGTATATATACATGGTTCTGATGCAAACAAAAAATGCATACTGATTTGATTGGATCAGATTTGACTTGTTAAAACGACAAAATCACAGCAGTTTGAGCAACCAAAAGGTACAAGATTAAGTGGTCACAAAAAATAATCATTCATTGATTAAGTGGCTGCCAAACAAACAGATCCGAAGCATCATAGTTAATTTTACAATCTTATAAGCTACATAAAAGCACAACTTCTCAATGAAGAAGCAATCTTTGGCTATCTTCCTTTTATCTCTTCTTTCGGACGGACTAAATGACACCAGAAACTAGAAAACACAACATAAAAGCTGACGAAAAAAATGAATGTTCTGAGTTCTAAACATCTTCCAAAGAGATCATATGCAAATGTTTCCGGGTTCATTGATATTGGAAAAATAAAAGAGAACAATTAGGAGACAGCTCATAACTAATTGAGCTTGTCAGGTTCTGAAGAGGAAAAGAAAAAAACACAGAAAGAACAACGCAGTTCAATGACCACCAACAATATGCAGACGATTATCTAAAACTTTAAAGCACTGGATCATAAAGGGATACCTTCAAGTTGTTACAAAATGCAGAGGATAACACCCAGATAATTGCCTTACTTACATAGTAGAAAGTTTCTGCATATTTATTCAGAGGGGAAAGTTCTTGCGTTTACCATCGGCTAGCTGGCACAAGGAGTTATCATGCGGTAGTATTCGTCAACTAAAAAGCGACTACCAAAAGTTACAGGCTGAAGA